GTGCAAGATGTCCCTGCTCATGGCAGGGGGGGTTGGAACCAGATGATCTTCAAGGTCCCTTCCAACCCAAACCATTCTATGGTTCTATAAAGCTTCAGTAAAAATGTCTGCCGCCCAGCTAATGCACAAAACCTAACGACAACCTCTCCATCCCCCGTAACGGATCGGTCACTTCAACACGGGGTTCCTTTAACCACAAAGCTGCTGCAGCTGCTGAAAAGCTGCACCCCATGGGTGCTGCTATGGAAGGACAACTGATCCGAGGGCTGGGACATGGCGGGAAGGAGCGGAATCTCTCCAGCCGGCCCCGTGCCCCGCGCCTTACCCTGAGTGAGGTCAGCACACGGATGGTGCTGGCGCCGCAGTTCTGGATCAGCGTTCGGGGAATCACTTCCAGAGCCTGGGCTACCGCACGGTAGGGCCACTGCTCCACCCCCGTCATGCCTTTGGACTTCTCCGTCAGCGCGTGGGAAACGGCCATTTCGGTCGCTCCCCCGCCAGGCACCAGCTGCGGGTCGACGAGGACGTTGCGACACACCTGCATGGCGTCCTGAAGGTTGCGCTCCACCTCCTGCAACAGGCAGAAAGGCAGAGGTTTACTGCTCGTGGGACCGACCTGCCGGAGAGCAGCTCTGTGGAGAGGGACCTGGGAGTGCTGGGGGATGACAGGGTGACCATGAGCCAGCAGTGTGCCCTGGCTGCCAAGAAGGCCAAGGGGATCCTGGGGTGCACTGAGTGTGGCCAGCAGGGTGAGGGAGGTTCTCCTCCCCCTCTGCTCTGCCCTAGTGAGGCCCCATCTGCAGTGCTGTGTCCAGTGCTGGGCCCCCCAGGTCAAGAAAGATGAGGAGCTGCTGGATAGAGTCCAGCGGAGGGCTATGAGGATTATGAGGGGACTGGAGCATCTCTCCTATGAGGAGAGGCTGAGGGAGCTGGGCTTGTTCAGCCTGGAGAAGAGAAGGCTGAGAGGGGACCTTAGAAATGCCGATCAATATCTGCAGGGGGGGTCAGGAGGATGGGGCCAGGCTCTTTGCAGTGGTGCCCAGCGACAGGACAAGGGGCAATGGGCACAAACTGGAGCAGAGGAAGCTCCAGCTGAACCCGAGGAATGGGTGACGCGGCTTGGGCAGGGGGTTGGGCTGGGGGATCACAGAGGGCCCTCCCAACCCCGACCATTCTGGGATTCTGTGAACGCACAGCCCACAGTCTGCGGGGCCGGTGCCTCTGCAGGACACAGGTTTCTCCTCGCTGTGCAGTTCACCCCACAAGACAGGATTTCTTTGTCACTCCAGAACCCAGAGGGAACTCGTGCTCGCTTCATTTGTGCACAACAGCTGCTCGAAACGAAGCAGTGACTTCTCGACGCCAAGAACGGTGGCCAGGACAGGCAGAACACGTCATAACTTACTGCTAAGATTTCCTTGCTGGCTCCACGCAGCATGATAGTGCAGGCCTTGGGGTCTTTGCAATCAGTGATGAAGGCGAAATACTCATCGCCTATTTTTTTAACCTCGAAGAGCCTGGCTCCGGTTCCCACGTCCTCCTCCCGCAGCTCGTCTGTGCGACTCACAACGCGAGCGCCGCAGGCCCTGCCACACAAACAGCCGTCCCGTTAGATGCTCCCCGGTAAGAGCCGGGGAGAAAGGGCGAGATCAGAGCGGAAACGCCGTGCTAGAGACAGCGAGGATTGTGCCCCAGCGAGGGGACAGCCTTCACCTGGCGATCCTGTTGTTGTCCGTCTTTCGCACTCTCCGGATCGCGGTGATGTTGGCTTTCATCAGGTAGTGCTGGGCCAAGTCTGAAATCAGGTTGGGGCAGTTTTATTGATGGATCAGCGGTATCGTGACAAGCTTTCTGCGTCTTTAAAGTAAAAAGGGTTATGGAAAGAAAAACCTAAACATAGCTGCTTCAACCAAGCTGCAAGGCAAAATTACAGTGCAGCTCTCCATGGTGTGCTAGACTCATCCTCACTTGTACTTTGGTATCGTTTCCAAATGCTGGAAAAGCAAAGTATTATTCTAAATGTCCACGTTCACAAGGCAACCTCAAGAACCAACTTCAACGCCTGCAACGTAGAACTATTTGCTAGCAAGCTAAGAACCAAAACCAAATCAGGGTCATGTTCAAAAAGCAGGTTTGTGAGGGGGGGTTTTTAGTATTTTTTTAATGCTGAACAGTGCATTTAACACAGCATCGACCTTATTAAGATGAATTCAACCCAAAGAAGGATCACATGTGTTATTACCAGAAATTCCTTTTTCTGTGATGACCAGATCTGGCTTGACTCTCACCAGATCCTCGCAAATCTGCTGAACGTACTCCTCCTCCATCTGCAGGATGCGGGCAAAGTCTTCCTCCCGCGTTATTTCAATATCAGTCTGCAGAGAAAGAGGTGGAAAGGCCTCGCTCTGTTCCTCCCCACCCTCCACCGAGCTAGACGCAGACCCCTGGCCTGACTGACCTGCGCTCCTCCAGTATTGCCCGGGCAGAGTTAAGGAGAACCACACAACGAAAAATACCAATCAAATAAACCGTGGGACTGTGTCAGTTTAACATTAGTGCTAATCAGAGCACAGAAATGTTTCTTTGACTCTTGACCACCATCACTTAGGTACACAACTCCCTGCGGCCGCTTCAGTGAGCGCCAGTGCCGCAGCCTCAGCTACACCCTTCCCCCCTTTTCCCCAGGGTACTGACCCCACGGCCTCTACACACAAAAGGTCTCGGAAAGAAAGAACACGAAGAGAGCCGTTTGCCGCTCACGCTTTTAACTGCCTGGCTTTGTTCACTTTACTAGTCTTAAACTAAAAGTAGCGGACATCTCTAACGGGACTTGCTTTACCTGGCTCTCTCCTTTCTTGTACTCCAGTGAGCAATCCAGAAGGACAATGCGTGGATTCTTAATGAGGCGACGCATCCTGGGATGAGTGACGTCTTTGTTCAGCATGATTCCACGCAAAACACACGAGTCTTCACTGAAACCCCCCGGAATCTGACACAAGAAAGGGGGAAAATGAGGCAACTCAGTCTACTCTACGAAACCCTGTGTGTCTGGGCTCCTGAAACTATCCACCCCACGTACTGAAAAGGAAAACTCTCCCAAGTAACCGTGATGCATCCAGGTCACAACCCGAGTTAATCTCAGTCAGCGTGCTCTTAAAATGCAGCGAAAAGCCGTGGCAGAACTTGAGAAACTGCTCCCATCCTATCGCCCCACAATACGCGTTTGGAAGATGGACACTGAAAACAACTTCAGTGATCTTTTTGGCAAATACTCAGAGACAGTTGCAGTAACTGCCTCTGTTCTCGCTGCAAACCCGCAAGGCCGACAGCACTGACTGAAACACCTTCAAGGGTTATGTCTGCAGACTGCGGATCAGCAGCGCAAAATTCTTCCCGCTGCGTCCTAGGAACAACCAGTTCAGAACAAGAAAGGGGCACACAGGCAAGAAGTGGTTCAGGACACACTCACCTTTTCTACTTTTGCATATTTTTTAATATCAATTTCCTTTCTGCCGTTTTCTTCAAACTCCACCGTCTTAACAGCGTCAAGAGCAATGCTACAGGCCAAGTCAGACCAGCGGTTTATTGCCTTGGTGTTTATAGCACTCTTTATTATTTTAAGCATCATCTCTCTGTTGTTCACGTCCACTGCAGTGCTGGCACAAAGGAAAACCCAAACAGTAAACTCCTCATTACCCCAGGCTACAATCTATTCATAATCCCATTGAGTCTCTCTCCAATTACATTAAATTATATTTCACTAACGTGATTCCCTGAAGAACCACCTTCAAGCCATACAGAAACCCCGCGTCCTTTCTCCCCAACTCCCACCAGCCCACACTCACCTAATTTTCTTCAGAATACTGATCATGTCATCGAGAGCCTTACGATAAGCCCCAATGATCACAGTCGGGTGCATCTGCTGTTCAAGGAAGTGTTCGGCAACAGAGAGCATCTCTCCAGCTAAAAGACAAAACCCCATCAAAACTCCCCAGATCGGTCAGTGGAACACTCCAGAGTCAAGCCTGGAGAACAGCACGCCGGACAAGGAGAGCCTGCTACCCACACAGAGAGCTCTGACAACACCCACAGCTCGCCCCGAGATAAGCACAGTTAAGCCTAAAGAAAGCACACAACTCCCCGAAGCATGGAGCCGATCGCCTACGGCTCTAACGAACCTAGCATTCTCTTCCACGGTAAAAAAAAACATGGATCAAATTTTAGGGTTGGGAAATAATGAATCTCAGCCTCATTAAGGCATACTTACTGGCCTCTGGCGAGCAAAAAGGGCGAACTTCAGCCTCAACCCTTTATAAGAAGTATGTCTTATTCACTCTGCTTACCAAGGATAATTACAGACGTGGTTCCATCGCCAACCTCTTCGTCCTGAGTACGGCTGATCTCAATCATTGATTTCGCAGCTGGATGCTGGACTTGAATCTGTACAGGAGCAAGGGGTACATTTTGGTTCCAGAATACTAACGCCGAAACTTCTTGCGTCGCTCAGTGGAACAACCACCGCACCTTTTGAACAGCCAAAGGCATTCTGCCCAGCTATGGCAAAGGTTTTTCTCTCTTTTTGAGACTGAAAATAAGCCCTTGTGTTTCATAATATTGTGTCTCCCGCAGTTTTTCAGGCATTACGATTTTTGTGATGTTATTTCAACAGCGCTTGCACCAGAAAGATGACAACGACTTATTGGTCTAATTATTCAGCATCGTAAAAGCAAGCATAGAATGGCAGAATGGTAAGGGTTGGAAGGGACCTTAAAGATCATCTAGGTTTTGATGCAAGTGATTGTAGCTACAACTACCACAGAATTTACCCCAGTCTCGTAAAACCTCCATGAAAACTTACCATCCCGGGATCAAATCTATTATTTTGAGGAGGAAAAGCGTTTGCTGGAAATATTTAATTCCTTCCCAGTAAGCACCCTTCCTGGTACTGCTGTTTAGTACTTGCTGGCTCTTGCAAGAAGATGAAATAAAACAGTTCCACTGGCAGCTACGTGACTGCATCCTGGAAAACTCCAACTCACGAGTTAAGCAAGACAATCCTTTAGGAGAAACTTACTTCTCTAAGAATAGCATTGCCGTCGTTGGTCATCACGATCCCACCCATGGGGTCCAACAGCATCTGCAACCGAAAGAGCAGCAGTATTTGCACCGACCTGTACCACGCGTGGTGTTCCAGTCAGCGTGCAGCGCAGGTGTTTCAGCAGAAGTTCTTACCTTCATCATAGCTCTTGGTCCCAGACATGTTCGGATGATGTCAGCAATAGTCTAGGAGGAACAGAAGAGGTGAGGCAATACAGCAGCGCATCAGAAAGTCTAAGAAAACCACAGTCTACACGAAACAAGCAGCCACCACAAAATATAAGTGACCCAATGACTCTGTAGTTGCCTGGATGCAGCAGAAGTTAAGAATTGTGCGCGAAGGAGAACACAGGGATTACAAGGGCACTTCCACCACTAAACTATTATCTAAATCAGGTGTCAGAACTTCTGCACTTTCAGATTTTGCAGAGAAAGAAGTTTTGGTGGGTTAAAAACCCCTCTGTGTTCACTAATATTGCGTCTATTACTTTAACAGTGAAAATTCATTTTCTATGCTGCTTCTACTCTGGATTCGTACAGACTACAGAAAACATGCTTCAGATCCAGTTTTCCCTCTTAAATGTACAAATACATATATATATGCGCACACTCACACTCTAAAATAAAACCCAAACAAACAATAAACACAAACAGCCTGCCATGAGAGTACGGTACCTTTGCAGCAGTGATGTTTCCAGTCTGGACTTTTCTTCCAGACTCACGTTTCGTATTCTGACCTAAAGCGCACAGAAAAAGAGAAAATATTAAAGCACAAACCGAACTTCAATCTGACCTTACTAAGCAGTCCAAGACTGAAACAGCAATACCAACAATGCATCAAAGACACCCTCTCAGTCACACACATTTGATATATGACCAGTTCTAAATTAAGTTTACAACACCACAGCCACAATCAGAAAGTGTGTTCAGAGAAGAGTGTCAGTGAAAAACAACATTCCTTATTATAACAGAATTCCTGATTAGCATAATTCAACAAAGACAAAACTTTGCAGCCCTGCAATATAACCTATTCCCCCAAGAAAATCAGACAGCGGTCACTCGTGAGAACCTGCAAGGTCCCACAAAGCCTGGGGCCGGCTGCCCAGTAGTTTTCAATCAAAAAAGAGTTGCAGATGCTCACGCACACTGCTTTAAAATTGAGGTTTACGCACCAGTGCTGCTCAGCCTTTGGCACGTCGGGGTGAGCAGCTGCGGTCGTACCACAGACACACAGCCGGGGACGGGCTGCCAAAAGGGGCTGCCTTAAAGCATCTTGGTGCTGCTGGGAGTTTTTTTTAACTCCAAGCCCAGCCTGGAGGAGCACAGATTTACCTCAGAAGCGGGCGTTTTGTGATTTGTACAGCAGAACAAAAGAAAGCAGTGGTAAAAGCGGCGCCAAGCGTCAGGGTCAGCAGGCTGGCGGCAAAGGGGCCCTGGGCCGCACCA